AGAATTCTGATATGATGCTGACTCTCCGTCTTTTGTAGTAGCTTTTTTGGTTTCTAGAAGTCTTTTAGGATCTTCTATTTATGAACAGTGGCCTGAATTTCACACTGGGTGTTTATTGTCTTTTGAGAACTAAGTCAGCCTTTTCTATTTGAAGATTCATTTTAACAAAGTTTTTTTTTTATGTTATTTCAGCCTTAATTTCTACTTCACCTTTTTGCCTTTTTCTCTCTGTGTTTCTGTTTTTGTGTGTTTTGTTTTTTGGGGTCCGGTCATGGGGCCTGAACTCTGGGCCTGGGTGCTGTCCCTCAGCTTTTCAGCTCAAGGCTAGAGCTCTACCACTTGAGCCACAGCGCCACTTCCGGCTTTTTTCTTTTTGCTTATGTGGTGCTGAGGAATCGAACCCAGGGCCTCAGGCATGCAAGGCAAGCGCTTTAACCACTGAGCCACCTTCTCAGCCCCTGTTTTTGTGTGTTTTGAGTGTGTGTGTACAACTATTACAAATCCAATCCACTGTTGGCTCTTGTGCAATGATCTCCTAGTTTTCTGTTAGTTCTCTCTTATTTTTGATTTAGTGTTTGTTTTTTAAATTTCTTGTACATTTTTCTTCAACTTAATCTTTTAATCCTATAATCCAATTCTTCTTTTCCCAATTGCATTTCTAATTTGAAATTTATTGGTTATAGACAAAATGCTTTCATATTTCAGAAGATACTAATTTTTTGTAATTAAATTTTAAAACATTTTCTTATATTGCTTACATTATCTCTGTTTGTTACAGCTTCCTTCATTTCTTTATTTGCTTATTTTGGTCTTCACTTTCATTTATTTCCTCAAATGTCTGATGATTATTGACTATTCATACATATTTAAAAATAAATCGCTAACCCTTTCCCACTGAAAGGAACCAATGCTTCTTGAAGAAATGGCTGATTTCAGCAAATGGCTGGGCCAGCAAATGCTCAATTCCACAATATCCCACACTCCAATTTCTGAGCCTATCTAAGGCTTCAGCTTGCCTCTGTAAGGCATTCTGCTCTACTAAGTCAGGATGATCACTCCATCCACTTTCCACTTCCAGAAGGCACTGAATCTCTTCTCCAATGATGTCTCATATTTCATACTACATATGAATATATGCCTATTGAAATTTCTCACTTTCGATGGCTATCAATCAAGGAGTGTAATTTGACATATACTATCAACTTTCCATCAACTCCAGGGTGATGATCTCTAGTAGCTGTGTGGTTCAGTTTTTTAAGAATAGATGAGATATCCAGAGACATGAATCAGAGAGTTTCCTTGTGAATTCAGCAACTTTCCTGGACACATAGAAGCCAGACAGAGATAATGGCTGAGCATCAGCACATCTGAGCACCATTCAGTAGAGTTTAAACTTCCAACAAATCTATGTTGTGGCCATCATCCAAGCTTAGAGAACGCAGGGAACTCAGGAATCACCCCCAATGACAACCCAGGTCCTAACAAAACTTTCATGGCATCCTGAGATCATGAATCTGTTATAACTGCCCTCCATCCACATCATCCCCTAGACCTACTCTGGCAAAGATTGCTCCTGAGCTCCTAATTGCTGAACCAAGATAGCTCATCATGCTGGCTTCTCAACCCCCTGACACAATGTCACTGATCACTGACCTCCTTTTCAAAATTTTCCAAGACTAATTGATTGGGTTAAGCTGGTAACAACAGTGCAAGTGAGCTGATTTAAGCTGACTTAATTCCCCTACTCATCCCCTACTTCTCCAATCCCTCCTCCACTTTAACACACACAACTGCTCGGTTTCAGGCTGCCCCTCCTGCCTGTGATTTCGATTTTCCTTAAGGAATAGCAGTTTACATTAATTGTTTAATAGAGGTCAGGTACTTAGAATCCCTTTAATGGATACCGGTTTGCATAAACTGTTTGCATTTAGATTTTACTTTAAGGAATGTTAATTATTTAAGCTATCAATAAAACATCGGGTTTTACGTTTGCTTAAGTCATACCCTGGAACCGAGTGGGAGGCTCAATTGGCTCTCTAATGAAACCTTAAAACCCATGTGCATCCTTGCCCTTGACAGGGCAGTCCTTGGTCAGTTGCTTATAATTAGACTGAAAGCTTAGAGCAGGGGCTAGACACCTCCAGTGAAGGCAATAGCAGGATCCTTACTGGCGCGATACTTTTACAGTCAAAACTCAAAGGCTAGGGTTTTCTCCCCAGGCCAGACAGCAGACACAAAGGAGCCACTCTGAGGATCAGAAGCCAAGGTCTCCAGTCTTGTTGAGAGGGCATTGGATGGCCTGTCCCAACCTCTTGTTTATTTTTTCTCCTCTGTGGCTACAATGTGGACACAAAGTATATTTATTTTTCTCCTTGCATTTCTTAGGAGAATGCAGGCTGTACTTTGAGGATAGGTCCCTAAGTGACATCCCGGGAAAGGTGGTAAACCCAGTTCCTGATCCTCTTGAGGCTGTTTTTCTGAGAATACCCCTGAAGCTGAGTCTCTGCCTCTAGAATCCAGGAGAAAGTAAGCCAGAATCTAAGAGGCAACAGTGTTTTTCAGAACCTGGTGATTCTGTTATATAGCCATCAGTGGCCAAGCAAGCACCATTCCCCTCCTAATTCACAACATCCGGCTGTGCATGTCAGAAACCCAGCTTCATCTCTGTGTTCTAAACACTGTTAATTTGTTAATTTGACCCACACCGAGGGTCACCTTACACAGAGCTACATGCCTGAAGATCCTGGAGCTGTGTGATGTTGGGGGCCTGTGTGATTTGCTACCTGAAGATCCCTTCCTATTTTCACGCCCATGTCTTCCAGTAAAGTCTCCCCATGACTTGCCAGGACAACTTCAATGGTCTCCTAATTAGCTTCTCCACCCTTAGTCTCTTTCTTGGCCCAGGTGATCAAATGGTCAAGCCTGTTCATGCCACTTCTCTGCTTAAGTCACTAGTGGATTCCCATTGCCCTTCAGAATAAAATTTGGCCCCCCTCATTTCAGCAATGAAGCACCTCACAGCGAGGCTGCTCTGTCTCTTCCAGGCCTCATCTCCCACCCTTACCCCACTGCCATCCTCTGATCCTGACCCTCAATGCTGTGTGCTATTTTACACCTCTCTTATCCCCTTCCCCGCCTGGAAAACACATCCTTTGAGCTCCAGTTCAAAGGCAGCAACTCTGGGAAGCTTTTGCAGGCCCTGCTGGGCCCAGAGGGTTCCTTGTGCATCCAGGCCACCGCTCCCACAGCACTGCCATTATTTCTATCTCTTCTATCCTTGGCCCCTCTACACAGAGGATCTTCATTGACAGATCTTAGGAATCCAATAAAGTCAAATGCCTGGTGCTTAGGGAAGCCCCCCTCGACTTATGGCCTCCCCTTTTCCTCACCCTACTTTGAACCTTCTCTGCCCTGACTTCCTCGGTCCCTGACCTGCTGGGTTAAGTTTCTATAGATTCCACTTAGAAACTAGGTTCTGTACTAGCTACTGGCTACTAGCAATGCCATAGAATGACCAAACTAGCAAACCACAGAATGTTGTCTCTGGGAACCAGCCCAAGCCTCAGGAACATATCACACGGTCCACCTCTAAGAAAGGGAATTTACATATGATCCTTTTGGGGGGGGGAGGGTGTCTGATTGTGAGGCCTGAACTCTGGGCCTGGGTGCTGTCCCTCAGCTCTTCAGCTCAAGGCTAGTGCTCTACCACTGAGCCACCTTCCCAGCCCCTTACATATGATCCTGAGTCCAAGGGATAGACTTTACCTTTGAAACTCAAATGCCTACTACCATAATCTAATACCAGACTTGGGTTTTAGTGAGCATTCACTAAATGTTTATTGGAGGGATGGTTGGATAGACAGATAAACAGATAGGCAGATTGCCCAGTAAAGGGATAAATAGAAGGATAAATGTATTTTTCTTGCAACTTTTCCTTATTCCTCCTGACCCCTCCCTTTCCACGGAAATAACTTCATACCATCCTCTGATAGCCATCCAAGAGTTGCAGTGATCCCATAGAGTGTGGACTCAGGTTGGAAAAAAGGAGACCAAAATGTCATACTAGCTTATCCTTCCCTATCTGCCCACTGTGGTGAAACTCAATGCCAAATAGTCCAGCGCTGGATAACCTTTTGAATTCTAATTAGATTGCATGCACCATTTATCACTTTTCCTGGAGGTCAAAGACTATCCTTCCTGTACCCCCAGCCCCCAGTTCAGTTTTGATGTCCAGTCAGTGCTCAATGAGTGCTCGATAGTTGGGAGATGAAGCCTTCTAAACATGATAAGTGAAGCTCTTCTCTCACTGAGGAAGAGATGATTGTCCTTTGGAATGTTCAGCCTCTGCGGAGATGGTTTGGCATCTGTTTCTCAATCTGGGATAACTGTTCTGGATCAGGGAGTCCCATTAAAAAGTCTCTCAGAGCACTTAGGGAATTATGCTTGGGGAGTCTTTCTTGGCAACAGATAATAAATCAATCACAGCTCAGTGAAAATGAATTAGAACGGAATCACTTAGGCCAAGCTAAGAAGGGAACCAGGGACACCCTTTTCCTAGAGGCCCAAACTCAAGAGAGTTTCCTGTGGACTTAGAATTCCCAATAGTCCCAGTTTCCTCAGTACAACTCCACTTTTAACTCAGAAATTGATGGATCTCAGAGGCAAACAAGGGTCAGGTGAATTTTGTGCATCTGTCCAAAGAGACAGTTGTTCATCCTGACCTGGTGCTCATTTTCTCACCAGCAGCTTCTCTGAATTATGCAAGAGCCTTGTATGCAGCACCCCTATGTGTATGTAGGCTGCACCCCACTCCCAAGTATATCCCCAGCAGTTACTTTAATAACAGGCTCTGAGGCCATGCCCAGATGGGAAAGGGCAGATGTCACCTGCTGTGAATATTAGGGGCTGAATTCTGAATATCACATCTCAGGTTGCCACCCTCCCCTCTCCTTGCCCTAACTTCCAAATACAGGAAATTTCAGGAAGAAAAATAAATGTACCTGAAGGAGAGAGACATTGGCAAGGCTGAGTCTGAAGAGGTAGTTCCTGTGAAAAGAGAAACAGAAAACATAAGGCACGCTAGGTTTGTAGGCAGGACCCCACCCCAGGAAGAAGTCTCCTGGTTCAGGATTCATGGGGTGCCAAGACTATGTTGACTGCAGAGGACCTATGGTAGGCCACTGTCCAGGGAGAACATCGCTTCTTGTTAGTGTGTTAAAATGTCTTGTAGCTCTAGCAATAGATAGAGAAAATCCCATTTTATAGATGAGGAAACAAGTTACATCAATGGTCTGGGTCACATAGACAGTAACTCTCAGATTTGTCTACCTCCTCGAGTCCTGTGCTATATCTGGTCCTAGCTAACCCAGCAAGCATAGGGAGGAAACTCCTCATTCTACTGTTAAATAAGTTACAGGAGACCATTGTTTAGATTAAGCTCCTAGGTACCAAAAGTACTAAGTCCCCAAAGACCAGACAGAGAATCGGTCATGCTAAAGTTTCCAAAACTGATCTTCAAAGAAATCAGGAAAGAGAGAAGAGCCAAAATTTCCAAATGGACTAGTTTCAACTGGCACAATAGTTACATTCTGTCTGCCTTGATCTGACACCAAAGCAGGTACTGATGTCACCTGATGTTAGCCACAGTTATTTTTCTATTGTTCTGTCTCCAGTCTACAAGAAGAACTTTGAAATGGCCAATCTGTTTTTAGTTCTTTGTTTCTGCTTTCTTTAAGAGCCATTTTTTGTCTGTAAAATGAATGTCTTTGGCTCAGCCCATCAGAACCTTTGTGTGTGTGTGTGTGTGTGTGTGTGTGTGTGTGTGTGTGTGTGTGTGTGTGTGACAGAGAGAGTGAGAGAGACAAAGAGACAGAGAGACAGACAGAGAGAGTACTGGGGCTTAAACTCAAGAATTGGGCACTGTCCTTTAGCTTTTCCCCTCAAGGCTGACACTTCTGGTGTAGTTCAAGTAGAAGTAAGGTTCTCATAGACTTTCCTGGCTTGGAACTTTGATCCTTGGATCTCAGCCTCCTGAGATCTAGGATGACAGGCATGAGCCATGGGTACCTAATCCCAAACACTTATTTTGTTTTATGGAATAAAGTGTTGCATAATTCCAGTTAATATCCAAAAACTAAACTTGTAACTTTCTTCTGACTTCATCTTTTCCAACCTTGGAGCCTGTTTCTGTTCACATGTAACCCCAGGAGCTCTTTCTTGAAGGGACTCAAACCAGCTTCCTCCTTGCTGGCCCCCACCCTGAGCAATATGCCTCACTATACAGGCCCCCAGAATCCCGTTTGCTTTCTTATTGCCTGTAGTCAGTGACTCCTCTAGATCTGACTTCTCCATGGCCCTCTTCCTGGACCACCTACCTTGTCTCCTAAAGTCCAGTTACCTCCATCCTCTCCCTCACCTGTGTTCTTCCTTACACCTCCAAGCCTCTACAGCACTGCCAGTAACATCTTCCTCAAACACTTTTTATCCAGCAGCTGGCTGCTCATGTGCTTTAAATAGCAATGGTTATTTAAATATTAAATATTTAATAGTGTTAATAGTGGGAGCCGGTGGCTCATGCCTGTAATCCTAGCCACTCAAGAGACTGAGATCTGAGGATCATGGTTCAGGAAAGTCCGTGAGATTCTTATCTCCAATTAACTACAAAAAAATATAAGTAAGCTGGAAGTGGATCTGTGGGTCAAGTAGTAGAGTGCTAGCCTTGAGCGAAAAAGCAAAGGGACAGTACCCAGGCCCTGCGTTCAAACCCCAGGACCAGCAGGAAAAAAAATTCAGACACTGAGAATTCATAAGGATCAAGCATTGCTCAGACCACTTTGTGTGGACTTTAAAGCCAGAGGGCTATTCATAGGGACTCAGAACTCAAGGAGTCATAAGGGTGACATACCCATTGGGTCAAAGTGCCACAGAAAAGTGATTTTTAAACTCAAGGTTCAGACCCTATGACAGACAGGCAGAATTCCAGCTGAGCCACTTGCTAGGGCTGTCTGGAAAATGGAGGAGTCAATGCCTGGCTTTCTTATTTCAGAGGCTGATGAAGACTCATTAAAAGTCTTTATTGTCAGGTACCAATGGCTCACACCTGTAAGCCAAACTATTCAGGTGGTTGAGATTTGAGGATTACAGTTCAAAATCAATCTGGGCAGAAAAAATAATAGACTCTTATCTCCTATTAATCATCAAAAAGCTAGAAGTGGTAGTGTGGCTCAAGTGGTAGAGAGCTAACCTTTAGTAAAAAACTAAATAAGAGCACAAGGTTCTGAGTTTCAAGCCCCAGTATCAGCACAAAAAATAAATAAATAAAGGAAAAGAAAAAAGAAAAAAAAAGTGTTAATAACAAACAGAATTAAAAATCTTGGTTCCTCTCCAAAGACTTTCTTCCTCTTCTTTCTTTTTTTTTTTTTTTTTCTCTTCTAAGCCATTCCTCTTTGGGTTCCAAAACTTTTTAGGAATAATTACTTTAGAAAGTTCTGGCTCACCTTAGCTGTGCTGAGAAATGAGGAGAAAGTTGTGAAGTGGGCCAAAATGGGAAGGAGGGGCCCTGCTGAAGGAAGCCAGGGCTGCAATTGGACACCTCCGATAGGGAGATCCTCTCCCAGTTCTGGTTGTTGGCCCAGGTCCCATTCAGCTTCTCTGCTGTCCTGGGGCTGGGCAGCCTCACGGATGACCTTGGCTCCAGGCCTCAGCTGCTCCCCCCCCCGAATCCCCTCTCCAGCTCCTTGGCAGGGCTTCCCTGTGCCACACTCCTGGACGGGGGACAGATGGGCTCCAGCTTATGGCTCTGCCCCAGCTGTGCGCTCAGGTAACACTGGCATCTGCTCACAGCTTTAACAAATTAGGGGAAACATTCCATCACTTGGTTCATCTTTATCCCATCAAAAATCATTCATCACAACATCCCAGCCGGCGCTTCTGAGAGCAAAGAAATCTCTCCAGCCCATCTCATCCTCCATTCTGTAGGGAACAAAGCAGGATTATAAATTGATTTTTTTAATTAAAAAAAAAAAGAAATCCCTAACCTGAATTCTTGAGGTTCATGAGGTTTGGGAAGAAGGAGAAAAAAAAAATCAGGTAGAGAAGAAGGAAAACAAGAGGAAAAATCTATAAGGATCCATAACAAATCATAAGACACCAGCCCAGAGTGGACTTTTTCTCTGTCTAGGCTCAAAGACCCAGGACAAAGTATGCTTTCCAGCTGTGAAAGGGAAGCTTTCACACATACCTACCCATAAAAAATAACACCATTTACAGGGTGTGCCTGCAGTGTGACTACAGGCAGGACTCTTAACCTCTGATAAGTGCTGGTTCCTAAAATAGGGGCCTCACAGAATTCACTTTCTAAGACAATGGTAAAGACTGGATGATTTTCTGCATGCACGGCTTACAACACGTACTGGATTATTTGCTGCACGTATGCTCTACGACGTGTATTAGCTGATTTACCACATAAAAGTACATAAAATAATAATATTGCTGGGCACATGGCAGGTGCAGAATGAAAGATAGCTTTCAAAATGCTTCCACAAGGTTCAGAGAGGAGTCTCTAGATGCTACTCTTTGGGTTTGAAAAGTGCATATGCAAACGTGAAATCCCAGCTGGGCAGAAGGATGACATGAATGTCAGCTTCTGAATTATAATGTGGCACTACAGTTATATAAGATGATACCATTGGGGGACCCTGGGCAAAGGGTACATGGGATTGCTCTCTATTATTTCTTATAGCTGAATGTAAACTCATGTTAAAGTACAAAAGAAAAATGATTATTTCTCTGTCAGAAATTAAGGTCCATTGCCTTGTGTGCCTACATCTGTAGAAACAATGAGGGAAGGCCTCTCCAATCTGTGTTTCAGTGTTCTATTAAGAAGGTCCACCTAGGTGGAGCTAGGTTACACCCCCAGGAGGGATCCTACTGGTGTGAGGGTGTGTGTGTGTGTGTGTGTGAGCCTTGCTTTTCACTGAATAATCTTTTTCTCATTCTTTCTTTTTCTTTTTGTGCTAGTCCTGGGGATTGAACTCAGGACCTGGTGTTGACCTTGAGTTTTTTGTTTTTTATTTTAGGGTAGTGCTCTAACACGAGCCATAGCTCCACTTTCAGCTCCTGGGAGCCTTCCCCTCTCCTTGCCCCGTTTTGGTGGCTAATTGGAGATAAAAGTCTCCTGGGCTTTCCTGCTTAGGCTGGCTTCAAAATGAGACCCTCGGATCTCAGCATCCTGAGTAGCTAGGATGACAAGCATGAACCACCAACACCCAGCCTGGATATCCTTTTGTAACTCTTGCATGTTAATACCATAACACATAATGCTGGTGCAAAATAATTTTAGAGCTTTGTTTAAATGAAAAGAAAATACACTCAACCCCAACTTTTCACTAGTCCTGTATAGTTGGCTGCACTAAGACTGTAACTCAGACTTCATAGATGAAGAAATTGAGACTCAAAGTTCAAGTTCTCCCTAGGATAAGAATGCAGCTTGTTTGATCCTAGTCCAGAGTTTATTCATGACTTGCTTCCTTTTCATACAGAAAATGAGGCAAAGACACAGAAGACCAGGAGTCAAGTATGACCGGCCAGAGTAGCCCAGAAGTGACCAACCCAATGGCTACCTCTGTCCATCCCTCCTGCCTCTGGACCTGCTAAACCACACAGAACATCTGGCACCAAGAGTGAAAAATTCAGTGCATGTAACACAGACCTACCAGCAGAAACAAACAAACAAACAAACAAACAAAAAATAGCCCTGCGGTTAGGAGATCTGGACTTACCCCCATGCCTTTGCCATCTTGGGAAGGTCTATTTTCCCTCTCAAGCCCTCTACTTCCTCATGTTTAAAATGAGGGCTTTGGATCAGACTAGTCATTCTCCAAGTTGGAGGGGTCTACCCCCAGAGTTTCTGACTCTAGAGTCAGAAAGCTGCTTTTGAGCCTGGGGAATTTCCACTTGCAACCAACTCCTAGGTGCTGCAGGAGTTGCTGGCCCAGGAACAGCCTAAAACCTATGTGATAGGCCATCTCTAAGCTCCTTCCTTACCAGGACCAGCAGTTGTACAATTGGTGAGAAATTAGTTCCTCCTACTCCACCCCAGAAAGTCTCATGAGCCTCCCTAGGGAGCTTTATCTCTTGAATACCAGATGTGAGCAATGGGGCTCAGGGGAACAGGCCACAGGGAAGGGAGGCCCTTCATAAAAGAAGGCACATGGCCTGTGCCAGCACCCCAGGTGCAGGCTGCCAGCTGGCCAGCAGGGGGCTCCTGGGTACCTTTTCTTTGAGAGCTCTGAGAGAATTTGCCAACTGGGCAGGTCCTGGCATCAGGGAGGGACTGGGGCAGAAGGTAACCAGCAGACATCGCTGCCAACCCCTGAAGAATGCGCTGGCTGAGATCAGGAACTGTTAGGGGACCATCTCCCTATCTCCAGCCTCTATCTGCTACCTTCCGTGAGGATAGACATTTAAATACAAGAGTCTGGCAGAAGAGACCAGGACTCAGGATAGGGGTTTGTCCACAGTGCCTTCATCCAAAACAATATTCCTTCCGCCAATTCCAGCCCCCTTCAACTTCCATCCAAGTCTCTCCTGCATCTCATTACCTGGCTCCCACGATAAGCTGGTTCCTGGAGGGATCCAGAGCGAGCTGGGAGAAATCTCGGGCTCCAGGGTAGGTGAAGTTAGATACCCATGGCTTCAGATCTGGTAGGAGAAAAGGCAACCCTGTGGTTACTGTTCGACCAGAGTTCCCAGCTGCACTTGCCCACCTTGGAGCAGACAGCTGTGTCTTGGGGAAGATCAGAGAGTGCTGTTTCTGCAATTGGAAGAAGATTTTACCCTGTACACAGGGGAACTTTGAATCATTCCTGACTTCCCTCCAGATCTCCAGCAGCCATATCAGTACACATCCTGTCTGTTTTTTATCTCCAAACGGTTTCTCAAATCCACACACACACATCTTTCACTCCATTCCCATTCCCTATCATGCACCCTCATCTCTTGTCCTGGATTGGTGCCAAGAGCCTCCCAACCTGCCTGATCCACTCACTCCAGTCCATTAACACAAGGCCACCAGAGCCATTTTTCTAGAATACAAATGTGGCTATGTCACTCTGAAGCTTTAGAACCCTTCCCAGCTCTCCAGGGAAAGTTTCAAGTCCTATCACCTATGGGTTTCTGGCCTCACTGTTCTCCCAAGCTATCTGCCTGGCAATCACTGGACTAATGAAAGAATGGTGCTTCATCCTTACATTCCCTCCAACCCTCTGCCCCCGCCACACTAAACTAAAACATACTTCTCAAACTCATAGCACCTGAAAACCTCTGTGCCTCTGCACAATGGCACAGTCCCTGTCACCCCCAATTCCCTGACCCCCACAAACAGGATTTAGAGCTCCCATAGCCTTTTGCTTTACTGACATCAGAATTCTACCACAATATGCCAATGGTTTGTCTTGAAGACCAAGAACAATCAATCTTTTCCTTCCTTCCTTCCTTCCTTCCTTTCTTCATTCCTTCTTTCCTTCCTTTCTCCCCCCCCCCCTTTCTGTTTTGTCAGTTGTAGGGCTTGAACTCAAGACCTGGGTGCTGCCCCTGAGCTTTTACCTCTCAAGGCTAGCACTTTACCACTTTGGTCCACAGCTCCACTTCCAGTTTTCTGGTGGTTCATTGGAGATAAGAGTCTCACAGACTTTTCTGCTCAGGCTGGCTTCAAATCACAATCCTCAGATCTCAGCCTCCTGAGTAGCTAGGATCGTAGGCATGCACTACTGGTTCTTGGCAGAAAGATCTTTCTTGGATCCTGGGCAACTATAAATATTGCATGAATTCAACCAGGAGAATCAGGTCTTAGATAAGATTCCATAGAGGTGGAAGGGACAGAGTCTGGGAGGTCAGAGTCCACCCCTATCTTTAAGAAGGTTCTTCTAGACAAAGCCAGTCAGAAGGACTGAGTGGGCAGAAAGGGTACCATGCAGCCATCTGGATAAATGGGGAATGGTCTGGAACTGTGCTGGCTGACTTTCTCTTGTTCTTTTCCATGGGAGACCCACTGTTCCTATCGTGGCCCATAGCTCCTTAACAGATCTCACTCCATCCATGCCTCCCAACAGGGAGGGAGGGAGGGAACTAACACCAGTAAGGATGGAGCTGTAGACAGAAGAACTTTTACACTGATGGGATAAAGAAGGTGAATGGGAGGCCCTGTGCTCTCTCTCTTCAGTACATTAGTGAATGGCTCACATAAGTCCCAGCAGTGTGTGTGTGTGTGTGTGTGTGTGTGTGTGTGTGTGTGTGTGTAATCCAAGGGAAATAAATCATTGCTCATTATCCCTCCACTACAGAGTAAAAGCAGCCCTTCATTTCTGCACGACAGGCAAACACTTAATCGCTCCCTGGAGAACTGGAGGTTGTTTTTTTTTTTTTTTTAAGTTGGATGTTTTTCAGAAAATTGTGATATGCATGATTAAAAAAAGAAAGTCTGCAGCAAAATGGAACAGACTCCTTGGGCCCACCCCTGCCCCCAGCAGGTGACAAGTTGCTGGCAAAAATTGTCACAGTACCTTAATGGTATTTGGACATATAGGTATAATGAATGGATCTAAACCCCAGTGAGCTGTTTTTTTTGTTTTGTTTTGTTTTTTTGCTGACCTCAGCCCCACTCTTGGAAATCTTGGTAGGATGTTGGACAACCTTAGAGACTAAACCAAGGGCTCTCCTGTCCAGGAAAGACCTGGATGCTAACCTCTGCACATTCTCTTTATCTTTCTGTTCTGTTCATATTGTCTGTCACTGGCACTCAGAATGTGCTCAGCCTTTTCCCTGTGTGTGTGGTCCTCTTCAGACCAGATGCTTTCTAACAGCAGCAAACAGGCTGTACTGCAGTTCCTCCTTTCCTGCAGACAGGGGCATTCCACATGTGGGCAGCTGAATGGGAGAGCAATGCATGTGGCCTGACCGGTCCATGCAGGGACTTCATTCCATCTCCATTCAAGGCCTTTATCTCAGGAAGGATGACAATGGCAGCTGAGGCTGGGAGGTCCTTGCAGCTTCTGCTCCTCTCTTCCAGCCCCAAAGGAGCCTACATGGGTAAGTGGCGAAGGGCAAGGAGAGAGGTGGCTGGGCACGGTGCCTTGGTGCTGGGGAACCTTGGGAAGGGAGCCAACTTCCTCTTATTAAACAGGCAAAGGGGACCAGAGGGAAGGCTGTCTTTAAAACACCAAGCACGTTCTGAGATCTGTGTGCAGCAAAGGCTTTGGACAGGGACTTTAAGAGAAAAAATGACATTCTCCATGACGCGCCTGTGATTTTAATTATAGCCAATTCAATTACCCACTTTGTGGATTAACCACTGCTGGTGTTAACTCCAGGCTGGTTTCTCCCTGCTGTCGAGAAAGGGCATGCTGTGGCCAACAACAATGTGAAGGCTGAGAAGAAACCCAGGTGGCCCCCTTCAAAGAAACCCCAGGAGAAGATTGAACCTTACAAAACATAAAACCTCCCATCAGCTTTTGCAACTGGCAGCTGCTCTAGGATATTTAGGGGTTGTTCACAGATCTGTCAGGTGGCAGAAGAGAGGGGAGCTACAGCTACAAGGTGGGAGGCCTGCACATTAGCCAGAAATGCAGCATGCTGTCTGAGGGGGTCTTGGAAGCCAGGGGGTTGGATGTGCTCGAATAAGGCAGTTTCTCTAAAACATGTCATCAGCCAGAAAATAGTCCCTTGCCCAAGGGAAACCAAGTTGCTACTGCGTGTTTGGCTGTACCAGAAATGTAGGGAAACCAAGGAAACAGTTCAGGTTGTGACTAGCTGGGCCAGGAATGAAAGGCAGTGGCCTTTGAGAAATAAATATAAGATGTCTGAGCACCCAAAAGAAATGTTTGTTGCCAGGCCCCGGTGGCTCACACCTGTAATCCTAGCTACTCAGGAGGCTGAGATCTGAGCATCGAAGTTCGAAGCCAGCCGGGGCAGGAAAGTCCGTGAGACTCTTATCTCCAATAAACCACCAGAAAACCAGAAGTGGTGCTGTGGCTCAAGTGGTAGAGCACTTGCCTTGAGCTGAAGAGCGCAAGGACAGGGCTCAAGCCCAGAGTTCAGGCCTCACGACCGACAATAAATAAATAAGAAATGTTTGTTTACCTCTGGCGCACAATTGCGCCTTCTCCGTGCTGGCACCAACAGGGCTTATAGAAAGTTGGTGATTGCTCGACATGGTGCCTCATACCTGTAATCCTAGCTCCTCAAGAAGCCGAGATCTGAAGATCATGGATCAAAACCAGCCCGGACAGGAAACCCTGTGAAACTCATCTCCAATGAACCAACAACAACAAAAAACCAATACTGGAGCTATGGGCTCAAGTGGTAGTGCGCCAGCCTTGAGTGAAAAACTTAAGGGACAGCATCCAGGCCCTGATTTCATGCCTTAGTACTGCCACCAAATAAAGCAAGAAAGCAAGAAAGAGAGAAGGAGAGAGAGAGAGAGAAGAAGAAGAAGTTATTGATCTCAGTATGCCTCACATACACATACACACACACAAACACACACATACACACACATTGGTAAATAGGAAAACTCAAAGCTGTAGGGATGAAGAGGGGGTGGCAAGTTCCTTCATTCCTTCATTTTGTAAGCAGGTGGGTGGGACATCATGTTCATTTAACTCACGCTGAAGATCAAAGATGAGATCAAAGGAGACCCAGACACTAAGGACCCCCCATTTCTCTCCTTGCTTGTCTTTCTCCTACCCCAGTGTGCCTCCATACAGACCAACTACAAGAAGGGGAAGGTAAAAAAGGATTCCTCTGAATCAGTATGGCCAATCATACCCCAAACCCTCCAAGAGGAAATGTCTATGAGGAACTGTCACAGAGTCCTGCAATCTCAACCCACCCTAGGAATTCTGCTCCTGTTTCCCCAGTTGGTCTTTCCCTGCAGAAACAACCACCAAAGCTAGGGGATCCCAGCTCAAATAAGGCAGCAGCAAGAAGATAGCTGGAAATCTTCCTCCTGGAGATAGGAACCCACACTCCCAGCATGCTCTTAGCTTCCCATTCTAGCAGCTCCCACACCTCTCATTCATGTGGCTCCTTAAGTCCCCATGCCAGCCTTGGACTTGATGATTGATTTTCTGCTCTGGTTTCCATCTTTTCTGACCCTGCTGGTCATGTGGCCACCCGGAGGACAGGGCTTTGTGTTTTCCTATCAAGGGCCCAGTGGGGCAGAGACTGCTCTGCAGAGAACAAGCAGCAGTATTAGGAGACTGACCTTGAGGTGTGATTTTGAAAAGTCTCCCCAGCATCCAAGGCTTGCTTTTCCTATTTGTAAAAGGAGGAGGCAATCTCGTGTCCCTGCCCACCTTCCCCAACCAGGTGTTTCTGAGGAAGGAGCAGCCCAGTGTTAATTGGACTCAAGGACCAAGGATTCTGGAGATTACACCACAGCATCTGTGGTGGCATGTGAAATGTGAACGTGATTGTGAGTCAAGCAAAGACCCTCAAACTGGTTAATAGGCCATGGGAGAACTTCTGGGCCTCTCTAGAATTTGCATTTTATTTCATATTTTTGGATTATCGTCAAATGTATATACCAATTTTAGACATCGTGGAGAATTTATGGACCCTTTGGAATATGTCCAGAGATTCACAAATTCCAGTTTGGGAAACACTTTAATACAACACTCCCAGGCTCTCCGTTGACACAGAGAGGAATAATGAGTCAACCAGGGCCCCTTTCAACTGAGGGCTCCCAGGACTCTAAAGACAGGCATTCCTGCAGCAGATTTAGACCAAGAAGGAGCCTTCTAGAGCTCGCCAGGGACTTCCTAATGCAAGAGGCCCCTTGCTCCTTCCTTAAAAGAAGCTAAGAAATGGAGCCTAGCCTTACAGAACAGATAGAACTGAGGCCACCAACCAAATCCTGACCACTCTCAGGCAAATTCATTCTCTAGAAAGATAACCACTTCTCCCCACACGTATGAACGACGGACCTGAATAAATGATTCAGAGACAAAAGTTAGACCCAGCCCATTATTACCTGTTCTTAAAATATCTATCCTTACAGGAAGAAGTCTCAGAACCTACAAGGAGTGAACAACCCAAGGGCTTCTAACACCTAAGAAGACCCTACTCAGGTCTGATCTAGGTCTTTCAGGACAACCAAGTGGGATGCTCTCACCTTCAAAGGCCACGATGGGGTGCTCCCTCCGGGCGCACAGCAGCTCACTGTTGGGCTCACTGGAAATATCCTGAGAGCTGCAGAGGTGGGACACCAGCAGGGTGAGGCTAGGCAGGAACAGTGAGATAGCCAGGGGTCCTGGGCCCACCATGATTGGCCCCTCTGCAGTCCTAGCTCCTGGAGGCAAGCTGGGAAGAAGACCTGCAATGCAAAACTCAATCTCACTAAGCATTCCCTCCATCATGGCTCATATCTCAGTTTCCTCATGACTGTCAGTGGTCCCTTGGGGTTTTAAAAGATACATTTATATTGCATCTATGTTACTCAGAGTTTACTCTGCCCTGGTAATGCAAAGTTATAGATCATATCTTGAAAGCTAATTTCCCTTGTAATGGTGTTCTGGACAAAACTGACAAATTACAGAGCCTTTTCTATTATGATCCCAAATGCTTTCAAATTCGTTTTAATGATAAAGGTGGTATATCCATTTAATAACTGGAGCTGGGGCAATGGGGAATCATTTGCAGAAAGAAAAACTTGGACCCAAGTCTAACTTACACCTTACAAGGAAGAATTCCAAGTGGGTGAAAGATGTAAATATTAAAGATAAAATAATAAACAGAATAAGAAAATTTAGACAGAATCCTTCATATCATGGAGTGGAATACTATGACTCAAAACCCAGAAGTTATCAAAGAAAAGACTGATTAAATTTGACTATATTTAAAGTACAAACTTCTACATGCCCTCCTCACCCAATGAGATGATCAAGACACTATGTTGAAAACAAACTTTACAACTTGGGGATGGGGAGGGAGGAGTTGGGGAGGTGGGGAAGGAAGGGATTGTAGGGGAAAAACAAAGGAAGGGGTAACAATGCTCGATAGGAAATGTATTCATTTCCTTACTCATGTAACTGTAACCCCTCTGTACAGAATTTTTACAATAAAAATATATATTAATTTTTTTAAAGAATCAAAAGTCAAATACAAACTTGAAACAAATATTTGCAATTCATATCACAGACAAGGACTTTTATTCATAAACACATAAGAACTATTAGGAGTTGGTCTCAGGCCAGCTGAGATAAAAGTTAGTGAAACCTTATTTCACAAACAAGCTAGATGTAGTAGTAAATACCTATAACCCTAGGCGCTCAGGAGGTAGAGGTAGGAAGACCGACAGGGTAAAATTGAAAACTCTATCTGAAAAACAAACTAAACCTTTTCTGAACAAAACAAAAGGACTTGGGGTTGCAGCTCAAGTGGTAATGGGCTTGCCCAGCAAGCATGAAACATGAGTTCAATTCCACAAAAAAATACCACCAAAAGGAAGGAAGGAAGGAAGCAAGGAAGGAAGGAAGCAAGGAAGGAAGGAAGGAGAAAGAAAGAAAGAAAGAAAGAAAGAAAGAAAGAAAGAAAGAAAGAAAGAAAGAAAGAAAGAAAGAAGGAAGGAAGGAAGGAAGAAAGGAAGGTAGAAAAGAAGGAAGGAAGGAAGGAAGGAAAGAAGGAAGGAAGGAAGGAAGGAAGGAAGGAAAGAAGGAAGGAAGGAAGGAAGGAAGGAAGGGAGGGAGGAAGGGAAGGAGGGAGAAAGAAAAGCAGAAGACCAGCAATCCAGTAGAAATGGATAAAGAACAGAGAAAAAAACAGGGATTTAAATATCTTGATATTCTCACCCCCCACCAAGAGCAATGCAAATTTACACTTAGATGGGATCCTATTTATCATCTATCAAGTTAGCAAAAATTCAAGGTAGACAGCACCAATACTGGGGCTTGAACCCACAGCCTCATATTTTCCCTCAGCTCCTTGCTCACAGCTGGTGCTCTACCACTTGGGCCCCACCACCAGTCCAGTATTTTGCTGGTTAATTGGAGGTGAACTCTCCCAGACTTTTCTGCTCAAGCTGACTTCAAACTGCGATCCTCCAGGTCTCAGTCTCCTGAAGATCTAGAATTACAGGCATGAACCACTAGCACCCACACAAAACAACACACTTTTGGTGAGGCTGTGCGGAGAAGGGTCCTGTCACATACTACTAAAATTTGCAAAATGGGCACACGCTCTGTGAAGCCGGGAGTACCTCGCAAAACTACCTATGCAGTTATTACCCTTTGACCAAGTAGCCTAATTGATGCTTGTACACCAGCATCAGTTTATAAGCTATACAACTGTGTTATAAGATAATGCACAATTTGAGTGTCTGTAACAGAGTAATTGTTATGTACATTGAATTTAATAACGAAGTTTTGGGGTTCTGGGGTGGGTAGCTTAGCAGTACAGCTTTTGCCTCATATGTGCAAGCTGCAGGGTTCTATCCACAAAGAGAAAAGAGAGGGAGGGAGGAAGAGAAAAAGAGAGAGCACAACATATTTAGACTTGTGTTTTACGTGTTGTTTTTCGATTCATTTCTCTAGTAATTTACTTTTATTGAATTTTATGTAAGTATCCATCTGCAACTGACTGTAAATTGAAACATCAAAACTGTTCCTCCACTACAGACAGTTGAGAAGCAAAAATAGACTGCAGAGGCACCTGCATGGCACAAAATGACTTGCGTATGAGGTTTTCACCATGACATTCTTTGAAATAACAGAAGGATAAAAACAAACCAAACATCCAGAAATAGGAGGCTGCTTACAAAAGTCAGGGTGTTTATCTCTGTAATGGAATACTATGCAGCTGTGAAAATAATGCTATTTTCTTCTATGAAGTGAAAGGTAGTGCTAAATCAGGGACTTCCATCATTCCCTGGAGCAGGTGAAGGGGTTTCAAAGATTCTGGACAAGTGAGAGCCAGAGGGTAAGCATGGGGCTTCTCCTCCCTCTGAGACCTTTGTTCCTGAGTCGTCTTCTTCCCTCTTTCCTCCATTGTGATGATTTCCTTCCTGCCTGTTTCCTCTCGGGTGTGAATGGGATGATACCCCATTACTAAACTGCTGCCTGGCTTCAAGGAACTCATACACAGACAACAGCAGACACAGCCAGCCTACACGCCTTCTCCCCCCAGGGAATGTGTTGATTCCCAGTTTTGATTCCCTTGTTCTCTGGCACAGGTTAAGTGTGTACATACTCAGCCTTTCTAGAAGAGCCTGGACATACCTCTTCGGCAGAGACCCTCTGGGAGGCAGGATGGACCCAAACTTTTCTCACACTGCCACTGGAGTTTCCCTCCATGCTAGGTTTGCCGTTTCTGCTGCAGGCAGGCTTGGCTGTGATGTCCCATCCTTGGTGCTCACTAGACCCCTTCCCTGGCACATGTCTGTGACCCTCCTCAAACAAGGTCATGGGGGGTGGGAGAGGGGCATTAAGGAGCTGGCCCAGCCTCTGGAGCCAGACAACACGAGGTCAAACTGATCTCTAATTATTAGCTGCGACACTATAGGAAAAACAATTTCTCCCTGCCTTGATTTCCCTAACATCAATTTCATTGGCAGTTAGAAGTTAGTTCCTCTAAAACAGTGCCTTCTGGGGTGGCACTGTGGTATCCTTCGCCCTTTGACCCTAGGCCTTCCATGGGTACTTCCCTCCACTCTCTGGCTCTGTTTCTGCCAGGTAGATCCACTAGACTGTGTGCACACTAGACTGTGTGCAGGGCTTCCCTTCCTCCCTCTGAGTCTGGCCAATGGGAGGAAAGAAGAAATCAGTAGGAGTGTGTCCTGTTCCTGCTTCTAAAATTGCTCCCCAGTCTTGCCTTTGAACCCAGGGTGGTACCACCTCCTTGGTGACCAGCTCCAATGTGCTGCTCATGATCCTGGCTCCCAAACCCCTTCCCACAACACTGCATACACTTCCTTTATTAAGTTGCCCTTACATTTCCCAATTTGAGAGTGTCATCTGTTCCTAAGGGGACTCTTGACTGAAAGAACACCTAATTAAGGAGACTGAACACACATGCAAACATCCTGCTAGGCTCTCTTCATCAGCCCCTGGGGGTATCTCAGGTGGCATGACAATGCCCTTCCTTCCAATGTGGCCCCTCCACAGCCTTCCTGCCAACTCATCCAGGTAGGACTGCCACCCTCAAGGACTCAGGCCTGGCGGCTCTGCCCTTTGTGTGGCCAGATCCTGATCCCTAGGGGCCTGAATCAAGGATACAACCCAGATCCCTTCTCCTCTCCCAGTCCTTAGCCTTTACAGTTCCTCATTGCTACAGCAGAAGTCCCATTCCCACTATGGATTTTATGTAAATATGTTCTCCAGGTCCCTCTTGAATCAATCATTGCTAGATTAATATCAATGCATACATCTGGGCCCCAACATGGCACACTTGTCTGTGATTCAGGGGACAGGAAGAGACATTCAAGATGTATGAGGGGCCAGGGAAGGATGAAGGCAGGGCCTGGATTTGGGATCTTCTCTACTCAAATACCTTTCCTCCAAGCCACAGAGGAGAGAGATTGAGAAAGATGCCAGTGGATATGCATACAATACACGGGGGTCACCCAGAGGCAAGTGACATCACATCAGGACAGCTGGGGGAAATCCTTCTATCAGAGCAGTGTAGTGTCCCAGGCCTTGGGAGCTGACTCCAGGTGCTCCACAGGGCTTCTACACAGTCCTGTATTGCCACCAGCTTCCAGGAACCTCCATCTTTCTTGACATGGAAGCTAGTAAGTAGGTCCTCAGGGGGAACAAAGCAGTGTCTGAGCAGCAGGACAGTGAATATGGGCTAGAGTTTGGAATGTCAATGGCCAGGGCAGAGCCTGATGAACCAGAGCTTGCAACATTGCACATTTTGGAAGACAGAGCAGAGGTACCACAAGAAAAATGAAAGGGATGGTAGATCTTCCGGTCACTGAACATCACAAAATCTGACCTTTAGAACCGGGTTCTAGATACTTTGGGAGGTAGGGGCTCCAATTTCTAAGAATTCTTCATTATCTCCCCTTCACCCACAGCCAAAGGTATAAGTCCTAACACACAGTAATCCTCAACCCAGTTGAGGATTACTCAAAGCCGCATGTGCCAGGGCGGTCACATGACCAAAACAGACCAACCAGGAGTTCTTTCATAGCAATTTGGCCCCAAGAGTCAAACCAGCCTTTGCAGATGAACCTAAAACATATACTATAAGCCCTGAGGAGGGGTTGGTCATCTTCCCCTGTCATTATGGATTAGGACAACCTAAAGACAGAGACCAATAACAGGAGGTGGGG